CAGGTGCGAGAAATACCGCTTCTCAAAACGAATGTTCAAATCTCTCCGAAAGTTCGCTCAACCGACCCAAAGTTCACACATTGTCCGCCCGGGCCGGGTGGGTCAACTGGAAGCCGGCGGTAAACCGTGAACCAGGTTACCGCCGGGAGCCTCGTAGAGCTCTTGCCTGGCGCTGCTTGGAACACGTGGGGGAAGCGTTCTTACGCGCGAACTGCAAAAAAAATAAAATTTGTGATTTTTCTGTTCTTCCCCAAGTCGGTTCCCCCAAGTGTTTTGATAGTAATACTGCAGCTGCAGACCTGAGAATTTGACTGGCGGACGCGGAATAACCCACTACAGGTGCGAAAAATACTGGTTCTCAAAACGAATATTCAAATCTCTCAGAAAGTTCGACCAACCGACCCAAAGTTCACACATTGTCCGCCCGGGCCGGCTGGATCAACTAGCTGCACCCCGCGCCGGAATTCCTCTAGCTCATCGATGCCGAAGAGCTCTACGAGGTACTAGCTGCACCCCGCGCCGGAATTCCTCTAGCTCATCGATGCGGAAGAGCTCTACGAGGTACTAGCTCCACCCCGCGCCGGAATTCCTCTAGCTCATCGACAACGAAGAGCTCTACGAGGCACTGGCGCCGGCGGTGAACCGTGAACCTGGTCACCGCCGGCAACCTCGTAGATCTCCTTTCACGCGTGAGAGAGCTCAGAGTCTTCTGGAGGCATTTCTCGAAAAAATCAACATTGATTCTTTTCATGTCGAAATGAAGTTTTTGGTTCCGCCAAGTGTTTCGGTAGTGAAACCGCGCCTAGAGAGCTCATATTAAGACGAAGAGGCTCTCATAACCTTTTACAGGTGCGGAAAATCTGCTTTCACAAAATAAATGGTCAAATATCCTACAAATATTCGCAAAACCACCCAAAAGTTGCCACTTTGTCCTTCCTGGTCGGGTCGACCAATGGGATCCGGCGGTAAACCGTCAACCAAGTTTTTTTGCGTCTTTTGCGAAGGCCGGTTCGAGCTCCCATGGGAGCAGGCCTAAACACAAAGAACCTAAGCAGCGAAGCTGCAAAGATTAAGTACAAGTGCACAAACAGCGAAGCTGTACAGGAATGCACAAGTATACAATACACGAGAATGCGACTCAAAGATTGATGGAAGCAAAGCAGTGCGAGACCATGCAGTAACCACATATAGCGATTACCGTCTCAGCACCAGTGAAAATAAAAGCAGTGAGAGACCATACAGTAACCACTGGTTTATACAGCAACCAGGTTACCGCCGGGAGCCTCGTAGAGCTCTTTTCTCGCACGGCGTTGCTCGGAACACATGGGGGAAGCTTTTCTGAGCGCGAGCTGAAAAACTCGAAAATGTGTTTTTCCGTTTTCATCGAAAGTCGGTTCCCCAAAGTGTTTCGATACTAATATTGCAGTTACAGACCTGAGAATGCACAGGCGTGCGCAGCACAACCCACTACAGGTGCGAAAAATACCAGTTCTCCAAACGAATGTTCAAACTGGGCGCCGGCGGTAAACCGTCAACCTTTCTTACCACCGGGGGACTCTTAGAGCTTCCTGAGCATGAATAATCTCGAAAAACATTGCAGAGAACGAACAGTTGTTCAGCCTGAGCGATTCCAGACCTCTCGATGCAACAGCCGAACGCCTCTGATGCTTCTGGATCGTTTTCTGTGCGCACGAGCTCTGTAGCTCTCCTACAGCCCGAGTTACGTGCGAAAATCGACAGGAACTCTCAAGATGACCCGAACAATGTGAATAGCTTCGCGAACCTAGCTCGAGTATCAGACCGAGTTCAGACCTCTGAATGCGACAGCTGGACCTGCCTGATCCAAATCGGTTCCTTTGCTTACCAGCCCTGTAGCCCCCCTACAACCCGAGTTGAGTGCAGAAAACCGACAGCACCCCTCAAGATGACTCGAACAATACGAATAGTTTCGCGCACCTAGCTCGGGCAGAAGACCGAGTTTCGAGCTCTGGATTCAACAGACGAACGCGCCTGATGATTCTGAATCGATTGCTGTGAGTATGAGCTCTGTAGCTGTCCTATAGCTCGAGTTAAGCACAAAATACCGACAGCGCGTATCAAGATGACTCGAAACAGCCGATCCCGCCTGGACGCTTTTCGGCAGTAAAAGGCACCCGATCGAGCTGAGATCAAGACGGCAAGCTGGAATAAGATTGAATATTACGGGAAAAAATACTAGAGCTCAAACGAATGGTTGAATTTCGAGAACAAAATTTTCAACCGACCAAAAGTCACCAAAGGGTCCGTCGAGATTTTTCCTGCCAACTAGCTCTCCAGTGCGCCGGAATTACTCTTAAGCTTCCAGCAACTAGCTACGGGAAGCTCTACGAGTTATTCCTCAGAATCTTCGTCCAACCGGCCCAAAGTTCACACATTGTCCGTCGGAGCCGGGTCGGTCAACTAGCTGCACCCCGCGCCGGAATTCCTCTAGCTCATCGGTGCCGAAGAGCTCTACGAGGCACTGGGCGCCGGCGGTAAACCGTCAACCTTTCTTACCGCCGGGGACTCGTAGAGCTTCCTTGCCATCTATTATGTCCAAAAAATTGGCAGAGAACGAATAGTTGTTCAGCCTCCCCTGATAGCAGACTCGAATACAAGACTGAGTTCAGAGCTCTAGATGCAAGAGACGCACGCGCCTCATGATGCTGAATAGTTTGATGTGCGTACGAGCTCTGTGGCCCTCCCACATATCAAGTTAAGCACAGAAACCGACAGCATCTGTCAAGATGACTCGAGTATAACAAATATGTTCACGGATCTAGCTCGAGTAGCAGACCAAGTTCAGACCTCTAGATTCCATAGATGAATGCGCCTGATGATCTCGAATGGGTTCTGTAAGTATAGCTGTCCTACAACTCGAGTTAAGTCCAGAAAGCCGGCAGCATCTGTCAAGATGACTCGAATAATACGAATAGCTTCGTGAAGATAGCTCGAGTAGCAGACCGAGTTCAGACCTCCAGATGCAACGAATGAACGCGCCTGATGATTCTGGATCGGTGTCTGCTAATATGAGCTCTGTAGCTGTCCTACAGCTCGAGTTTGGTGTTTGGTCAGGCTACACAGGGCGCGCGCGCCCAAGCCTAAGGGCTAGAGCCAGTTAAATCCGACTCCTCCGCTTTGCAGAGGAAATTTCTTGAACGATGTGCTCCACACCTGTGCACAGGCGCTCGGCAGCAGATAATTCTGCCTCCGTCACGGTGGCTCCTACATCAAACATGTAGGCTTCTGAGCTCACGAGTGTCCACGGGCCATTCTCTGGAGCAACTTCAATCCAGTGGCCTCCTGCGGCACCCTCACTGCTCACTCCACCATCCCAGCATCCTCTGATGTATGTGATGTTTGTCCTGTTCTGTTTGATATAGTCGTGCTTGCAAATTCTGTAACAGTTTCCTTCTCTCGCATGGTGTGTAAGCTCATCAGCATAGGCATTGGCTTCCCTGTAGATATGTTTCCAGAAATCCCTTCCGTACGTCGGGCATCGTATGTTGTGTTGTTCACTCACGTCATACATGATATTTTGTATCCTGGCGATCCGTTTGGCATACCCACTGCTGTCACAAGCCCAGACTCCCCTCAACCATTGTACGACCGTTTTACTGTCACCGCACATTTCAACAGCGATCCCTTCCATCCCAGGGTCCCATATCGTAGTTTGTTCATTAATAACTGCAAGACGCCGGGCCAACTCGTCATCTGTCGGTGTCTTCGCAAACCCTCCCATCCTCCTCTCCTTACTCCTCCTCACAAACATATCCTCCACTTTGGGTATCTGTGATATGTGTTCCACAAACTCCTCCCAATCCGTCGGTGCAACGCACGTGTCGTGCCATAGAAGAGACCTCCATTTTTCAAAGGGTGCATGCCAGGGTGCATACAGCTCGAGTTGACTACAGAAAAAACCGACAGCCCTATTAAGATGACCCAAATAATACCAATATTTTCGCGGATCTAGCTCGGATAGCAGACCCAATTCAGACCTCTTGATGCAACAGACGAACGCGCCTGATGATTCTAAGAGGGTTCCTGTTAATATCAGCTCTGTAGCTGTCGTATAGCTCGAGTTATGTTCAGAAAACCGCCACGGCGTGTCAAGATGACCCAAAACGGCCGATCCCGCCGCAGTGCTTTTTGGCAGTTATATCTACCCGATCGATCTGAGATTAAGACAGCGAGCGGAAATAAGATCCAAAATCACGGGAAAAATATTAGAGCTCTAGCGAATGGTTGAATTTCGAGAACAGAATTTCCAACCGCTCTTAAGCTTCCAGCAACTGGCGCCGGCGGTGAACCGTCAACCTGGTCTTTTTGCGTCTTTGCTGGGACCGTCTTGGCCACTAAGGCCAGGTCCAACAAAGTATCAGGCGAAACAGAGCCTCTTATTTATCACGCAAGCAGTCAGCTCTTATACCACACAGCGAAGCTGAAGGAATAAAGAGAAACGCATGCCGCAATGACACAATCAAACGCAAAGCACACAAAGATAAAACGAATGAGTCAGTGAACATCGGGGCTGTTGGAATAAACAAGAACACAGATAAAGAAGAAACAATGTGTGACATATCCCTGCGAATGATCAAAGAAGGTCTGCACTACCTGTGGGAACACATCGCATACGCGCTCCGCCGCTGATAGTTCCGTAACTGTAACAGTGGCGCATGGTGGCAGACACCAAGCCTCAAGATACACATTCATGAAAATGATGTCGGTCCGCGGGAAGATATATTAGTTCCGCAGACCAATCTGTATCCACACACACCACAGGCACTTCCGCGGCTACAAACACCCCCATCAAAGCTGGCTTTGATAAGGCAAGGATAATGTTACGACGTGAGAGCCAGGAGACCTGGCCAAGAACTGAACATGCACACACTGAATTCTTAGAGCACAAACAAAAGAGACTATGCAATCACAATCAACAATCCAATACAATAAGTACGGAATGAAAGGAAGCACACGAAGAAAACGAATAACTACCACAGAGGCCGAACCTGAGATTTACACCTTCGTTCACAGTCCGTCAACGTCCTACCGAACCTATACACTTCGTCAAACACGATGTTGGCGCCTTCAGAGCTCTTAGCAGGCTTGGCACTGCTATGATATCGTTGGCCTTTGCCTCTGCCTTTGCGGTGCCCTCGTACATCCCCTTTTCCATCAGAACGCTTGGAATCCGGAGGAACAGCTTGGAACTCCCCCTCCGACTGACGCACAGTCTTGGAGACGTCCATCCGGACACGGACAAACGCATCAGAACCCGGATTCGATATCCCATTGAGCGTGACGGGACGATTCAGACACCCCTGGGACGCTCCTGACAAGGCGTGGCTATCAGGATCAGCCTGCACATTCGGAGAAAACTCCGCTCTCGAGGGTGCCTCCAGCTCCTCCTCAGCCTCCACAGTCACTTTCCCAAGAAGAACTCCTGAAGCTCCTCCCTCCATCCCAACGACAATCTCTGTCTGACAGCCGACTTCACAATGAAAGTCCACAACATCCGCACAAGAAATCTCAGAATGTGTCGTAACGGCCGCCTCCTCCTTGGGTAGCACAGTCAGGCAAGCATCATCCGTCTGCACTCCTGAGTCAACAAGGGAACGACAAGAAAGAGTCTCCGAGATAGTCGCAACGGTAGCCTCCACCTCCTCCTCCGCCAAGCGTGTATCAACCGTCTGCACTCCAACATCAACCAGCGATTCAGAAGCCTGCACTCCAATACCTACATCAACCAGCGACTCAGAAGCCTGCATACGGCAAGAAAGATTCTCCGAAACAGTCGTAATGTCAGCCTCCTCCTCCAAACTGCGTTTAACAACAGGTGGATCGCGCAAGAAGAGATAATCTAGAACCAAATCGGCAGTCGCCCGCTCCAGCCCTGGTGGTGGGAGACACGTAGGTGGCACCAAACCATCCAGAGGCAAACGAATAGGTAAATGCACACAGTATCCGTTTTGAACAGCCAGCGCCCGACGCATGATGCGAGCACTTGCACTCCGTACGTGTGGCATAGCGAAAGATTGCAGAGACTGCCTCGGAAGCCCCAGCAAAACAAATCAATTGAAGACCACTCAAGGCGATCAAACGTGTCAAATGAATGGCAGTGCAATATCACTCTAGGCGACAAACGTGTGAAACAAATCAATTGAAGACCACTCAAGGCGATCAAACGTGTCAGAAGAATGGCAGTGCAATATCACTCTAGGCGACAAACGTGTGACTCCCTGACGCGCACTCGATCCCACTGGAGGTTACCCAGGCAGAGGGGATCAAATGTCACGCGCCTTGAGCCGGGGGGACTTGAGCCGGGAGACCGCCGGGGACCTCGTAGAGCTCCTTTCACGCGTGAGAGTGCTCAGAGTCGAAAGAGAAAGCTTCTCGAAGCATTTCTCGAAAAAAGGCAAAAATGATTTTTTCATGTCGACATAAAGATGGTTCCACCAAGTGTTTTGATAGTAAAAGTGCGCCTACAGAGCTGATATTAAGATAGAGAGGCCCTCATAATGGTTTACAGGTGCGAAAAATCTGCCTTCTCAAAATAAATGGTCAAATATCTTTCAAATATTTGCAAAAACACCCAAGCTGGGCGCCGGCGGTAAACTGTCAACCTTTCTTTTTTTTGCGTCTTTGCTGGGGCCATCTTGGCCACTGAGGCCAGGTCCTACAAAGTCTCAGGCGAAGCGAAGCCTCTTATTTGTCAAGCAAGCAGTCCGCTCTTATAGAGTATCAGAAGCATGCATGACCAAAGAAGTTCTGCACAACCTGTGGGAGCACATCACATAGAGGACTCCGAGGTGTTCAACCCTCGAGCAGTTACGAAACTGATGAGGCGAAAATAATTATAAGACATGAGAGCCAGGAGACCTGGCCAAGAACTGAACATGCACACACTGAATTATTAGAGCTCAAACGAATGCAAATCATAAGTTCGGATTGAAAGGAATCACTCGAAGAATACGAATATCTACCGCAGAGGCCAAACCTGAGATTTACACCTTCGTTCAAAGTCCGTCAACGTCCTACCGAACCTACACACTTCGTCAAACTCCTGACCTCCTATGTCGGCGCCTTTACCTTTGCCTTTGCCTTTGCCTTTGCAGGCAGTACTTCCACATGACGACGTTGTATCGTTCCTCGGACGTCCATAGAATTGGATTCGGAATTCGTTGCACTTGGAATCCTGTAGAAACTTGGCAGCCTCGGCACGGTTCATCTGCCCTGTAAGATATCTGTGCCTCTCGAAGAATTCCAGAAGGTCCTCCAACGTCGCTTGCACATTCTCGAACGTCCCGCGCATCCGCACAGCATAATTTGCCCTGGCCTTTGCAGGGATCCCACCTTCTGTCAGAGGTTCTGCCAACAAATCCACCCCATTCTTTAAATACTCGATCGCATTCGACTCGTTGATACTGCAAGCAGCGTCAATCCATGCCTTAACATCGGCAATGGTGGCCTGAGAGCACGCGGAAGTCCCCTTGGCCTTCACATCGGAAGAAGATGAGACCACTGCCTTCACAACAGAAGAAGAAGAATATGAAAGAACTGCATACGTGTCAGAAGAAAATGAGACCACTGCACGCACATCTTCCCCACCTGACTCACGAAGGCGTAGAGCTTCCTTGCACGCAGGCGTCTGAGTTTGCGTAGAGCTCATGAAGGCGTAGACCCACTGAGTTTGCACCCCAGCATCCATTGAAGTGAACTGAGTTTGCACACAGGCGTCCTTGCCAGTGAACTGAGTTTGCACGCCAGCATCCATTGAAGAAACGGTTGGGGAATCCGTGAAAGCGTCCACTTCCGCACCGTTGTGCATACCAGACACAAGATTCTCTGTTTGCACACAGGCGTCCATTAAAGAGGGCTGAGTTTGTACACAGGCGTCCTGCACGCCGGCGGCAGCGGAACTCCCAACTGTTGAACTCCCAACTGCACTGTCATAAGAATGGGTCTGGCACAAAGTCAAACCAACTGCGGAACTTCCAAATGTTGAACTCCCAACTGCTGTTGAACTCCCAACTGCACTCTCATAGGAATGGGTATGACAAAGAGTCGGGGGGGTCTCCGTTTGCACATCGACACACACAGTCCGACAAGAAGAAGACAAAGTCTGCACTCCCACTTCCTGGATCCCCCCTCTGCAGTCTCCCTCCAATCCAGGCGGAGCAGCCAATTCTGTCAGAAGAATCGTATAAGTATCGGTTTGTGGCAACAACGAGTCCAAGCAAACGGGAATACATGGCGGCTTGCAGAAGCCCAAATAAACGGCCCGAGATCTTCGTGCAGCTCGCCTGTGACAACTGCGAACATGTGGCATGATTCGTGCAACGAGAAACAATAATCAAATTCAGGAATAAGTCACACGCACACGGCGGATCTCCACGCGAGGCGAAGGTACCATACAAATTGCCACAACCACACCGCAACAAGGAATAAATATGAGAGGCCAACAAAGAGAGGCAAGATGTACAGGGAGGTGGGCAGTTGCGTAGGCAGAGCAAAACACCACGCTAGCTCAACGTTCACCTTCGCGGAGGTTCCCCAGGCAGGAGAAAATGAACGTACGCGGAGCTTGAGCCGGCAGTGCTTGAGCCGGGGGACTCGTAGAGCTTCCTGACCATATATAATGTCGAAAAAAATGCAGAGAACGTATCGTTTTTCAGCCCAAGCGATTTCAGACCTCTCGATGCAGCCCAACGCCCCCGATGCTTCTGGATTGTCTTCTGTACGAGCTCTGTAGCTCTCCTACAGCCTGAGTTGCGTGCGCAAATCGACAGCACCTCTCAAGATGACTCGAAGAATACGAATAGTTTGGCAAACCTAGCTCGAGTATCAGACCGAGTTCAGACCTTTTCAATGCGACAGGCGGACGCGTCTCATGTCTCCGAATCGATTCCTGTGATTACCAGCCCTGCAGCCCCCTACAGCCTGAGTTAAGTGCAGAAAACGGACAGCACCTCTCAGGATGACTCGAACAGTACAAATAGTTTCGCGGACCTAGTTCGGGCAGCAGACCGAGTTCCGAGCTCTGGATTCGAAAGGCGGACGCCCCTGATGTCTCCAAATCGATTCGTGTGACTACCAGCACTGTACCCTTTTACAGCCCGAGTTAAGTACAGAAAACCGACAGCACCTCTCAAGATGACTCGAACAATAAGAATAGTTTCCGGATTCTAGATCGGGCAGCAGACCGAGTTGAGAGCTCTGGATTCAACAGACGAACGCGACTGATGATTCTGAATCCGTTTCTGTAAGTATTAGCTCTGCAGCTGTCATATAGCTCGAGTTAAATACAGAAAACCAAGAGCGCCTGGCAAGATGACTCGAATAATACGAATAGGTTTGCGGACCTAGCTCGGCTAGCAGACCGAGTTGAGACCTCTGGATGCAACAGACAAACGCGCCTGATCATTCTGAATCGATAAGGTGTGCTTACCAGCTCTGTAGCTGTCCTCTATCTCGAGTGAAGTCCAATATACCGAGTGCGCGTATCAAGATGACTCGAAACGGCCGATCCCGCCTGGATGCTTTTTGCAATAAAAAGTACCCGATGGAGCTGAGATTGAGATGGCGAGCGGGAATAAGATCGAATATCACGGAAAAAATACTAGAGCTCAAACGAATTGAGGAATTTCGAAAACAAAATCTCAACCGACCAAAAGTCAGCAAAAGGTCCGTCGATATTTTTCTTGCCAACTGGGCGCCGGCGGTAAACCGTCAACCTTTCTTACCGCCGGGGGACTCGTAGAGCTTCCTGACAATATATAATGTCGAAAAAATTGCAGAGAACGAATAGTTTTTCAGCCGCAGCGTTTGCAGACCTCTCGATGCAACAGCCGAGCGCCCCCGATGCTTCTGGATTGTCTTCTGCACGAGCTCTGTAGCTCTCCTACAGCCCGAGTTACGTGCGTAAATCTACAGCACCTCTCAAGATAACTCGAACAATACGAATAGTTTGGCAAACCTAGCTCGAGTATGAGACCGAGTTCAGATATCTGAATGCGAGAGGCGGACGCGTCTGATGTTTCCGAATCGATTCCTGTGATTACCAGCCCTGCAGCCCCCCTACAGACAGCACCTCTCAGGATGACTCGAACAATACGAATAGTTTCGCGGACCTAGTTCGGGCAGCAGACCGAGTTCCGAGCTCTGGATTCGACAGGCGGACGCGCCTGATGTCTCCAAATCGATTCCTGTGACTACCAGCACTGTACCCCCCCTACAGCCCGAGTCAAGTACAGAAAACCGACAGCACCTCTCAAGATGACACGAACAATACGAATAGTTTCGCGATTCTGGATCGGGTAGCAGACCGAGTTTAGAGCTCGGGATTCAACAGACGAACGCGACTGATGATTCTGAATCGGTTTCTGTAAGTATCAGCTCTGTAGCTGTCATATAGCTCGAGTTAAGTACAGAAAAACCGAGAGCGCCTGTGAAGATGACTCGAATAATACGAATAGGTTTCCGGACCTAGCTCGGCTAGCAGACCGAGTTCAGACCTCTGGATGCAACAGACGAACGCGCCTGATCATTCTGAATCGATAAGGTGTGCTTACCAGCTCTGTAGCTGTCCTGTATCTCGAGTTAAGTCCAATATACCGAGAGCGCGTATCAAGATGACTCGAAACGGCCGATCCCGCCTGGACGCTTTTTGGCAGTAAAAGGTACCCGATCGAGCTGATATCAAGATGGCGAGCGGGAATAAGATCGAATACCACGGGAAAAAATACTAGAGCTGAAACGAATTGAGGAATTTCGAGAACAAAATTTTCAACCGACCAAAAGTCAGCAAAAGGTCCGTCGAGATTTTTCTTGCCAACTAGCTCTCCAGCGCCCTGGAATTACTCTTAAGCTTCCAGCAATAACTTGCTAAGGGAAGCTCTACGAGTTACTAGCTCTGCAGCGCGCCGGAATGGGAACCGGCGGTAAACCGTCAACCAGGTTACCGCCGGGCACCCCGTAGAGCTCTTTTCTTGCACAACGCTCCTCGGAATCCATGAAGGAAGCTTCTGAAGCGAGAGCGAAAACTTCGAAAAATAATAATTTTTCGGTTTTCACCAAAGTCGGTTCCTCCAAATGTTTTGATAGTAATACTGCACCTACGAACCTGAGTATTCGACTCGCAGACGCGGCATAAACCCCCTCTCCTCCCTCCCCCCCTACCTGCTCACCGAAAAAAGCTTTTCAGATGACACAGAAAAACCAAGTTTTTGGTGTCGATACAAAGTCGGTTCCTCCAAGTGTTTTGATAGTAATACTGCCTCTAGAGCCAAAAAAAAAATACCAGCAGGTGCGCCATTACTTACTACAGGGAATGAAAATCTCACTTCTGAAAACGAACTTCAAAATTTTGCATTAAGTAAAAAAACCGCCCCCAGGTTACCACATTGTCTCTTTTGGTCGGGCCAGCCAACTAGCTCCACCCTGCCCCCGAATTCCTCTTAACTCTTTGTCGAAGAGCTCTACGAGGTATTACTCATAAGCTTCCAGCAATAACTTGCTAAGGGAAGTTCTACGAATTAAGTTGCCACTTTGTCCTTTCTGGTCGGCTCGACCAACTGGGAACCGGCGGAAAACCGTCAACCAAGTTTTTTGCGTCTTTGCTGGGACCATCCTGGCCACTGAGGCCAGGTCCAACGAAGTTGCAGGCGAAGCGAAGCCTCAAAATTGTCAAGCAAGCAGTCCGCTCTTATAGAGAAACAGAAAGATGCATGACCAAAGACGTTTTCACAACCTGTGGGAGAACATCGCAGATGCGCTCCGCCGCAGATAACTTGTATCAGGGATCAGACCTAGGTCCGTAGGTGCAGTATACAGACAACCCTACAACAGTGAGAACACTGAAGAGGCGAAACTAAAACTACGACAAGAGAGCCAGGAGACCTGGCCAAGAACTGAACATGCACACACTGAATTGTTAGAGCTCAAACAAATGCATATGCCCCATGTCTATGGACCGAAAGGCAACACTACCGAAACACAAGCAATAAACAAAGGCAACGAACAAACTGAAAGACTATGCACTGAATAAGGATGCACTGAATGACCACACGAGGCAATCACAATCTGAAAAACTATGCACTGAATAAGGATGCACTGAATGACCACACGAGGCAATCACAATCAACAGTCAAAAAGACCACGCGAGGCAATCACAATCAACAATCCAATACAAATCAGCTTACAATACACAGAGAGGTAATGTATGCAGACAATCATGTTCAAAGCTGCCCTATCGTTTGCCTTTGCCTCTGCCTTTGCGGCTACCTCTAGAGCTCCCACCGTTATCGGGAGAAACTCGACTGCTCTGGGAAGATTCGGCAACCAACTTTTGATGTCCAGTCTTGGCAATCACATCCGAAGCGACACGGACAGACGACGACCCCGACGGAGAGGCGATTCGTCCACGTGGCGACGTAATTCTGAGCTCTTGGGACTCCCACATTTGCTGTAGTCTCCGGGTGTCTGCTGCGAGTATCCGCGGGTCTGCGCGACTGGCACTCTCGAAGAGTCCGTCTGGAACAAAACTGAAACAATCGACAATGTACCCTGGAGCTTTAAACCTGGCCTCCTCGGCACAGTCCATTTTCCCCGTCACGAAACGGTGAGATTTGAGACAATCCAAAAGTTCTCCCAGAAACGACTGAACATGATCCGTGAGGTTGAACAAAGTATGGAGCCAAAATGATACATGATGTTTTGGGATGGTCATTGGCTCTGTCATGAGATCTACGAATAATTCAAGCCCCTGGATTAAATACTGCAGCGCAATCTGGCCGGTGAACCCCTTCTGGGCAGTGCTCCTGTCAATCCATGTTTTGACGTCGTCCTGGAGAGTGAACTGAGTTTGCACACCGGCGCCCTTCAAAGTGAACTGAGTATGCACGCCAGCATCCGTTGAAGTGAACTGACTTTGCACACAGGCGTCCTCGCAAGTGAACTGAGTTTGCACGCCGGCGCCCATTGAAGACACTCGAATGCTTTGAGAATGCACTTGGACCTCAGCATCAATTGAGGACACTCGAATGCTCTGAAAGGGACAGTGCACTTCGTCAACCTGGACACCAGCATCAATTGAAAATACTCGAATGCTCTGAGAAGGGTATGCGACCTCGTCAACCTGGACCCCAGCATCAATAGCAGAAGAAAAACCGCGAAGTGCAACGGAATCAACTTTCGGGCAGCTATCAGAGGGATGGAGTAATGCTGTCAACAACTTATTAGCCTGAGCATCCAACTCTGCATGCAAGACCGTGTCACGGGCGACTAGGCCTTCGAGCACCAACGGAAGAGGACAATTCGGTCGAACCCATCCAAGTTGGCAAGCCCGAGCCCGACGCAAACACCTGGATGCGAGACTCCGCACATGAGGCATCTGGCACAAACAAGACCACAAATGATAGGTATATGGCAGAAAACTGAGGGAAGATGTGTGAGGACACCTGAGAGATCACAACAATGAAATACTGCAAAATGAACAATATGCAATCCACACAAGGCAGATCTGAAAGAACAGAGACTTACGAGCACCACACTAGGCAGTGAGGAACAAGTCAGCGTATACAAATTGCCACCACCAAACCGCAACAAGAAATGGATATGAGAGACCAACAATGACAAGCAGGATGTACAGGGAGATGGGCAGTTGCGTAAGCAGAGCAAAACAACACGCTAGCTCAACGTTCACCTTCGCGGAGGTTCCCCAGGCAGGAGAAAATGAACGTTCGCGGAGCCTTGAGCCTTGAGCCAGGCACCTCGTAGAGCTCTCTTCTTACACAGCGCTCCTCCGAACACGTGATGGAAGCTTCTGAAGCGAGAGCCGAAAAATTCGAAATCACGATTTTTCGGTTTTCATACAGTGGGTTCCTCCAAGTGTTTTGATAGTAATACTGAACCTAGAGCCATGAAAAATTGACCAGCAGGTGCGCCATAGCTTAGCACAGGGAATAAAAATTCACTTCTAAAAACGAACTTCAAAATTTTTCATAAAGTAAAAAAACCGACCCCAGGTTACCACATTGTCTCTTTTGGTCGGGCCGGCCAACTGGGCGCCGGCGGTAAACCGTCAACCTTTCCGACCGCCGGGGAACTCGTAGAGCTTCCTCACAAAATATAATGTCGAAAAAAACTGCAGAGAACGAATAGTTTTTCAGCCCAAGCGATATCAGACCTCTCGATGCAACAGCCGAACGCTACCGATGCTTCTGGATTGTCTTCTGTACGAGCTCTGCAGCTCTCCTACAGCCCGAGTTACGTGCGTAAATCGACAGCAACCCTGAATATGACTCGAACAATACGAATAGTTCGGCAAACCTAGCTCGAGTATCAGACCAAGTTCAGCCTCCGAATGCGACAGGCGGACGCGTCTGATGTCTCCGAATCGATTCCTGTGATTACCAGCCCTGCAGCCCCCATACAGCCCGAGTTAAATGCAGAAAACCGACAGCATCTCAGGATGACTCGAACAATACGAATAGTTTCGCGGACCTAGTTCGGGCAGCAGACCGAGTTCCGAGCTCTGGATTCCACAGGCGGACGCGCCTGATGTCTCTAAATCGATTCCTGTGACTACCAGCACTGTAGCCCCCCCCACACAACCCGACTTAAGTACAGAAAACCGACAGCACCTCTCAAGATGACTCGAATACTACGAATAGTTTCGTGATTCTAGAGCGGGCAGCAGACCGAGTTCAGAGCTCTGGATTCAACAGACAAACGCGCCTGATGGCTCTGAATCGTTTGCTGTGAGTATCAGCTCTGTAGCTGTCATATAGCTCGAGTTAAGTACAGAAAACCGAGCGCGCCTGTCAAGATGACTCGAATAATACGAATAGGTTTGTGGACCTATCTCGGCTAGCAGACCGAGTTCAGACCTCTGGATGCAACAGACGAACGCTCCTGATCATTCTGAATCGATGAGGTGTGCTTACCAGCTCTTTAGCTGTCCTGTATCTCGAGTTAAGTCCAGTATACCGACAGCGCGTATCAAGATGACTCGAAACGGCCGATCCCGCCTGGACGCTTTTTGGCAGTAAAGGTACCCGATCGAGCTGAGATTGAGATGGCGAGCGAGAATAAGATCGAATATCACGGGAAAGAAAAACAACACTGCAGCCCACTTACAACCCGAGTTAAGTGCAGAAAACCGACAGCACCTCTCAGGATGACTCGAACAATACGAATAGTTTCGCGGTACCAGTTTGGGCAGCAGACCGAGTTCCGAGCTCGGGGTTCGACAGACCGACGCAACTGCTCTCCAAATCGATTCCTGTCATAACTTGCACTGTAGCCCCCCTACAGCCTGAGTTAAGTACAGAACACCGACCTGTCAAGATGACTCGAACAATACAACAGTTTCGCAATTCAAGATCGGGCAGCAGACCGAGTTCAGAGCTCTAGATTCGACAGACGAACGCCACTGATGATTCTGAATCGGTTGCTGTAAGTATGAGCTCTGTAGCTATCATACAGCTCGAGGGAAGTACAGAAGACCGAGAGCGCCTGTCAAGATCACTCGAATAATACGATAGGTTTGCGGACTAGCTCGTCTAGCAGACCGAGTTCAGACCTCCAGATGCAACAGACGAACGCGCCTGATCATTCTGAATCAATAAGATGTGCTTACCCGCTCTGTAGCTGTCCTCTATCTCGAGTTAAGTCGAATATACCGACAGCGCGTATTAAGATGACTCGAAACGGCCGATCCCGCCTGGACGCTTTTTGGCAGTAAAAGGTACCCGATCGAGCCGAGATCAAGATGGCGAGCGGGAATGAGATCGAAGATCACGGGGAACAAAAATACTAGAGCTCAAACGAATTGAGGAATTTCGAGAACAAAATTTTCAACCGACCAAAAGTCACCGAAAGGTCTGCCGAGATTGTTCTTGCCAACTGGGCGCCGGCGGTAAACCGTCAACCTTTCTTGTTTTGCGGACTTTGCGGTCGACTGCGCAGGCTTTCCAGCCTAGTCGGAGCAAGGAGCGGACGCATCCAAACAGGCAAGGCGTGAGTGAGCACAAACTCTTATTCACATCAAACCAGTCCGCAATACGCATGTTCAACCCGCCGCATGACAAGAGGCGCATGCTCAACGTCACATGTGAAGTAATCAACGAATTAGACGGGGAAACAACCCGTGGAAGAACGTCACCTGAAGAATATGAGGGGTTCCTGCCCTTTACACACCTGAAGCGCTCAGTGGGGCCCACAGCGGGCCGTAGAGCCATCATGGCTCCAGCGAGAGGTCAAACAGAGAGATAAAGTGAGGAAAACAAGAACAGGTGAGATACAAGCATTACAGCCTTCGCTGTTCTATACCGAAAGTTGCATACACGTGCGCACGAATAGCTTCATCCCAACTTGTCGAAACTCCTCGGGCGTCCGAAGAATATTATTCGGTAATCGCTGCACTTGGAAACCTCAAGAAACTTGGCCATCTCGGCGCGGTTCATTTGTCCTGTCAAGAACCTGTGCACCTCGAAGAATCCTAGAAGATCCTCCAGCGTCGCTTGCACATTCTGGAGCATCTCATACAGTTTCCGAGCATAATCTTTTTGGGCCTTCTTTGTAGGGAACCCACGTTCTGTCACCAGCTTATCAAACAAATCCATTCCGTTCTTTAAATACTGGATCGCATTCAACTCGTTGATGCTGGCAACAGCGTCAATCCACGCTTTGACATCGGCAATGGTGGCCTGAGAGCACGTCGATGTCCCCTTGACCTTGTCACGATCTCTCCCTCGAGTCCTCTGGCGCGACTCCTTCGATACCTCATTGAGCGTGACGGGTCGATTCAGACACCCCTGGGACGCTCCTGACAAGGCGCGGCTACCCGAATCAGACTGCACGTTCGGAGAAGACTCCGCACTCGAGGGCGCCTCCGGCTCCTCCTCCGCCGCCACAGTCACTTTCCCAAGAAGAACTCCTGAAGCTCCTCCCTCCATCCCAACGACACTATCTGTCTGACAGCCGACTTCACAATGAAAGTCCGCAACATCAACCGTCTGCACTCCAACATCAACCAGCGATTCAGAAGCCTGCACTCCAATATCTACATCAACCAGCGATTCAGAAGCCTGCATACGGCAAGAAAGATTCTCCGAAACAGTCTTAATGTCAGCCTCCTCCTCCTCCTCCAAACTGCGTTTAACAACAGGTGGATCGCGCAACAAGAGATAATCTAGAACCAAATCGGCAGTCGCCCGCTCCAGCCCTGGTGGTGGGAGACACGTAGGTGGCACCAAACCATCCAGAGGCAAACGAATAGGTAAATGCACACAGTATCCGTTTTGAACAGCCAGCGCCCGACGCATAATGCGAGCACTTGCACTCCGTACGTGTGGCATAACGAAAGATTGCAGAGACTGCCTCGGAAGCACCCAGCAAAACAAATCAATTGAAGACAACTCAAGGCGATCAAACGTGTCAAATGAATGGCAGCGCAATATCACTCTAGGCGACAAACGTGTGAAACAAATCAATTGAAGACCACTCAAGGCGATTCAACGTGTCAAATGAATGGCAGTGCACTATCACTCTAGGCGACAAACGTGTGACTCCCTGACGCGCACTCGATCCCACTGGAGGTTACCCAGGCAGAGGGGATCAAATGTCAAGCGCGTTGAGCCGAGATTTTCTTGAACCTTTCTTACCGCCGGGGGACTCGTAGAGCTTCCTGACAATATATAATGTGGAAAAAATTGTTGAGAACGAATGATTTTTCAGCCCAAGCGATTTCACACCTCTCGATGCAGCAGCCGAACGCCCCCGATGCTTTTGGATTGTCTTCTGTACGAGCTCCGTAGCCCTCGCACAGCCCGAGTAACATGCGAAAAACGACAGCACCTCTGAAGATGAATCGAAAAACACGAATAGTTTGGCAAATCTAGCTCGAGTATCAGACCGATTTCAGACCTCTGAACGCGACAGGCGGACGCGTCTGATGTCTCCGAAACGATTCCTGTGATTACCAGCCCTGCAGCCCCTCTACAGCCCGAGTTGAGTGCAGAAAACCGACAGCACCTCTGAGGATGACTCGAACAATACGAATAGTTTTGCGGACCTATTCGGGCAGCAGATCGATTTCCGAGCTCTGGATTCGACAGGCGGACGCGCCTGATGTCTTCAAAACGATTCCTGTGACTGCCAGCGCTGTAGCTCCCTACAGCCCGGGTTGAGTACAGAGACCCGACAGCACCTCTCAAGCTGACTCGAACAATACGAATAGTTTCGCGATTCTAGATCGGGCAGCAGACCGAGTTGAGAGCTCTGCATTGAACAGACGAACGAGGATGATCATTCTGAATCGGTTTCTGTAGTTATCAGCTCTCTAGCTGTTATATAGCTCGAGTTAAGTACAGAAAACCGAGAGCGTCTGTCAAGATGACTCGAATAATACGAATAGGTTTACGGACCTAGCTCGACTAGCAGACCGAGTTCAGACCTCTGGATGCAACAGACGAACGCACCTGATGATTCCGAATGGAATAGGTGTGCTTACCAGCTCTGTAGCTGCCCTACAGCTCGAGTTAAGTACAAAATACGAACAACGCGTATCAAGATGACTCGAAACGGCCGATCCCGCCAGTGTGCTTTTTGGCAGTAAAAGGTGCCCGATCGAGCTGAGATCAAGACGGCGAGCGGATGAAAGATCGAATGTCACGGGAAGGAAAAAAAAAAAAAAAAAAAAAAAAAAAAAAAAAAAAAAAAAAAAAAAAAAAAAAAAAAAAAAAAAAAAAAAAAAAAAAACGAATTGACGAATTTCGAGAAGAAAAAAAATTCAACCGACCAAAAGTCACCAAAAGGTCCGTCGAGATGTTTCTTGCCAACTAGCTCTCCAGCGCCCTGGAATTACTCTTAAGCTTCCAGCAATAACTTGCTAAGGGAAGCTCTACGAGTTACTAGCTCTCCAGCGCCCCGGAATTACTCTTAAGCTTCCAGCAATAACTTGCTAAGGGAAGCTCTACGAGTTACTGACTCCACCCTGCGCCCGAATTCCTCTGAGCGCCGAAGAGCTCTACGAGGTACTGGCTACACACCCCGCGCCGGAATTCCTCTAGCTCATCGATGCCGAAGATCTCTACGAGGTACTAGCTCAGGGAAGCTCTACGAGTTACTAGCTCCATCTCCCTCCGGAATTCCTCTATCTCATCGACTGGAACCGGCGGTAAACCGTCAACCAGGTTACCGCCGGGAACCTCGTAGATCTCTTTTCTTGCACGGCGATCGTCGGAACACATGAAGAAAGCTTCTGGGGCGAGGAACAAAAAACTCGAAAAATCACGCTTTCTGTTTTTATCCAACGTCGGTTCCCTCAAGTCTTTTGATAGTAATACTGCACCTACGGACCTGAGAATTTTACTGGCAAGCGCGGCATAACCCACTACAGGTGAGAAAAATCTGGCTTCTTAAAATAAATTGCCAAATATCTTTCAAATCTTTGGAAAACCGACCCAAATGTGCCACATTGTCTCTTTTGGTCGGGTCGACCAACTAGCTCCACCCCGCGCCGGAACTGGAACCGGCGGTAAACCGTCAACCAGGTTTTTGCGTCTTTTGCGAAGGCCGGTTCGAGCTCCCATGGGAGCAGGCCTAAACACAAAGAACCTAAGCAGCGAAGCTGCAAAGATTAAGTACAAGTGCACAAACAGCGAAGCTGTACAGGAATGCACAAGTATACAATACACGAGAATGCAACTCAAAGAAAGTAAGATTGAAAGCAGTGCGAGACCATGCAGTAACCACATATAGCGATTACCGTCTCAGCACCACTGAAAATGAAAGCAGTGAGAGACCATACAGTAACCACTGGTTTATACAGCGATTACCGTCTCAACACCACTGAGACAAACACAAAACTAACAACTAGAATGACGAGTACACTCCAGTCCTCTTTGAGGCAACCGTAGTGTCGACCAGATCAAAGGCCTACTTTGAGGCACCACGTGACAAATCACGGAAAGTCACGTTCAAAGGTCAATGAGCACTCAAATCAAGGAAGCAACGAATGACCTACTTTGAGGGATCAAGCGAAGCTCTTATTCAACACACGCGCATGCACGACAACACACACAGGCATGAAGAAAGGCAACGCAATGACAAATCAAGCGTGCAGGATCAATCACATGTGCATCATCTGTGCCGTTTCCGATGCTTCTTGCCGCTCCGCGTCAATGCACTCCTGGAAGTAGAACTCTGAGGACCCCCTTGTTGCGAATCATCCTCCTCGGAACTTTCAATTCCCAATTGCAGCCTGTATGCATTAATAGCCTCAGTCCTACGCTGAAACTCCCGTGTCGGGAGTCGGTGTAGCTCAAGCCAAAGAGCCATTACATCGACACCGGCAAGGGCCCAGTCCCTGGCAGCTTGGCACTCAGAGCGTGTCTCACTCGGTCGATCTGCAGAACTCCCATTCATGGAACTCCCTACTGCGTCAGCTGAACTCCCAACTGCAGAACTCCCAGCTGTTGAACTCCCAACTGCATCCTCAACTGCATCAGCGGAACTCCGAACTGTGGAACTTCCTACTGCACTCCCAAGTGTTGAACTCCCGACTGCACTGGAACTCCCGACTGCATCAACTGTACTCAAAACTGCGGTACTCTCCACCGCACTCCCGTTGGTCGCATGCAATTCTGAAGTGTGCAACTTTGCACTCTCGATACTCTCCGCTCGTTTGAAACAATATCTCTTCATTCTGAGAGAAGCATCACCCCGATCAACGTGCACTCGATGACACTCCTCCTTCTCCCCCTCACCAACATGAACAAAATCTTCCTCGGCCACCTCCTCCTGCTCCATCTTAGCAACTGCTTCACTATGAACATTCTCCTCCTCCTCGTCCTTGCAGCCAGGGCTCGATGCCACAGCATCAGCTGAACTCCAAACCGCGGTACTCCCAACTGCAGAACTCCCAGCTGTTGAACTCCCAACTGCATCCACAACTGCATCAGCGGAACTCCGAACTGTGGAACTTCCTACTGCAATCCGAACAGTGGAACTCCCGACTGCACAGGAACTCCCAACTGCAGAAGCATCACCCTGATCAGCGCTTCCTCGATGACACTCCTCCTTCTCCTCCTCACCAACAAAGAGAACACAAAGATCAGTCTGAGTTACACACTCAATGTGAACACAGGGATCTGTCTGAGTCCCACAATCGGAACACTGCGAACGCAAAGAGTTGCCAGCCAATTCAACAGCATCCATATCAGTCTGTGTTCCACAAGTGTCCTCAACCCACTCCTCTTCCTCAGAATCGTCCGAGCAGAAATTCCGATAATATCTGGGCGCGAAAATGCCCGCGCGAACAAGGCACGACTGATCTGGCCCCCGAGCCGTGGACCACAAACGATACCTGACACGTTTCGCCCGCAGGCGGCGCAACTTCGATTGAGAAACTTTGACACCATGCCCATACAGCTGGTCTCGCTCATGCATGCGAGACTCACCTCCGTACGAAGGGCGACACGGCAATATAGATCACTAACACACACTTCGACCGTAGACAAACGAGCAGACAAACAAGCGAGAGACTCGGAAGTAAACAACGCCGTATCTGTCCAATCTGAAGCAAGACGATCCGCGCCTGACAATTCAGATGAAACAAACTCCATATATAAAAACGTGGACTCGCTCTACAAGAAAGCAAATCACAAGCAATAACTAGATGGACAGTTGAGATAAGCAAGGAAAATGCTGTTCCAACAATACTCCGACAATCTCAACAATTATATGCACTCCGACGACAATCAATAAGAAGCCTTCGACAATCAATAAGAGTGTACGGTACTCAGGCAAAACAGACACTGAAGCACCGTGTACGGTAAAGAGAACCAAACGCCAGGCACGGCACGATGCCGCTCGAGGAGGCCTCCGACGGGCCAGGTCGCCGCTGAGATCCCGAGCAGGGACAGCAGCAACCTGGTCACCGCCGGCAAACCGTCAACCAGGTTACCGCCGGGAACCTCGTAGAGCTCTTTTCTTGCACGGCGATCGTCGGAACACATGAAGAAAGCTTCTGGAGCGAGGAACAAAAAACTCGAAAAATCACGTTTTCTGTTTTTACCCAACGTAGGTTTCCTCAAGTCTTTTTGATAGTAATACTGCACCTACGGACCTGAGAACTTCATTGGCAAACGCGGCATAACCCACTACAGGTGAGAAAAATCTGGTTTCTTAAAATGAATTGTCATCTTTCAAATCTTTGGAAAACCGACCCAAATGTGCCACATTGTCACTTTTGGTCGGGTCGGCCAACTGCGCGCCGGCGGTAAACCGTCAACCTTCCTTACCGCCGGGGGACTCGTAGAGCTTCCTGACAATATATAATATTGGAAAAAATTGCAGAGAACGAATAGTTTTCCAGTCCAAGCGATTTCAAACCTCTCGATGCAACAGCCGAACGCCCCGATGCTTCTGGATTGTCTCCTGTACGAGCTCTGTAGCTCTCCTACAGCCCGAGTTACG